TAGCTTCCGGTTACCGCATGCATCTTTTAGGAATCGAACACCGTGCACTAGATAGTGCGCTTCGACTTCTCAATAATACAAAGGACTTTCTTTCTTTGCCCTGCCAGGACGAACAGCTCGACTTACAGCTTTCAGTAAAATATAGATATCTGTTATGTATAGAATAGGATGGAATATAAATGTATGCTTATAAATATTGAAGTTCTATTATAGTGCAGTCGACTTCTGGTATCGAAGATACGATACTCTTGGTTAAGTCAAGGTGTAGCTAAGAAGACTCTCTTAGTGTTAGAGGAGGGCAGAACCTTTTTTTTATACTCCAACTACCACGAAGGCCTAAGGCCTAAGCACCCATTGGGTACCGTGGGGCTATAGGGGGATACATGGGAAAGGGGGGGACGCCACACGGACTCTGGCGAGGGAACACGTGTGCATGCAACATGCACACATTCTGGCTCCGCCTACGAGAACCGTCGGGTGGTATCTCCACGTTCGACAGTCAGAGACCATCTACCACCTACGGACAATCACAACATCCATAGTCAAGAGAAAAATTTCTCCTGGGACGGGACTCGAACCCGCACAGCGCACGGCGACTGATCAGGAGACCGAAGACTCTACTACTGCGGCCACCGCTGCTGCGTATACCTGTATAATATGTACATTTGGGAAGAGAAATGGGAATATCTGGTGGAACGAGAAACCAACATTGGGATGAAACCGTAATTGGAAGGGAAGTGAGTATACTGAGTGACAAAAAAGGGTAAACACCTACATATGTTTATTAGAATTCAAGAATTTTTTACATATCGATTTATATTGCCATGAACAACAAGTGATAAAATGTTCAGGTTTTTCTGTTAAGTTTTTGTGGTGGCTGCGAGTATTGTGTGGTGATAAAGAAGCATTCAGTTTCCTTACATTTACGGTGTCAGTTAAATGTTGAATTTCGTGTAGCTTATTGAGAAGCCTTTTTGTGATTTCTCAAATTGCCTAGATTTCGTAGAATTCGCCGGGTGTCCCAGCTAAGTGACTTTGAGAGGGGTCGAATTGTCGGGTTGCGTGAAGCCGGTCTATCGATAAGAAAAGTTTCTAGGAGGATCAACAGATCCTGACACAGTAGACCGCTGTATGAACGAGCGTGGACTCAGGTAGGCCGAGAACAGCCAGCTAGGGGTTCTGGATGTCCCACAGGGACCACAGAGAGTCAAGACTGCCGGCTAAGACATTGTCTCTTCAGATTCAGTAGTACTCGAGCCATCGCTAACCAGTAGTTTGAAGAGCATGGAAGGATGGTTGGTATACATATGGTATATCGCCGAATATAGCAGTTTGGCCTTTTTTCTTATCGCCCACATAGGGTGCTACCTTTCACAGCTGAACATCGGCGTAACAGTCTGCTCTAGTGTAGATAAAGAATTCCAGGAGACCGAGAATGGGATCAGGTGGCCTTTAGCGATGATGGTCGGGCAAAAGTGAGAAGGCGACGTGGTGAAAGACGCGACACATAATTTGACAGAGAGCGTCACGTTCACCACACCGTGGGAGTTATGGTATCGGGTGCTATCGCGTAAACTCTTGTCAAAGGCAATATGACAGCCTGACGCTATATTCAGGAAGTAGTGGAGCCTCATCTTATTCCATACCTAAACACCGTCCAAATTCCGATTTTTCATCAAGACAATGCCAGAGCATCGTTAGCCTTCATGGATCAACATCGCATTAACCGTTTAACTTGGCCACCACGATCGCCCGACCTATCTTCAATTGAACATGTCTGGGACATGATAGGTTGCAGGCTCTGGAATTTGCAACACCCTCCGCAGACTTCAGCAGCTCTTACTCGCGAAGCTGCAGTAGCATGGAATGAGATACCCTAACAGGATATTGACCACCTTATCAGCACGACGTCCAGGCGTGTCAGTGAGTGTATAAGAAATCGTGGATCCTCAACACATTATTGAACCAGCTTCTGCAGTCAGCTGACGAATCAAGCTAAAAATTCAATCATTTTACTACTAAGGGACGCTGAACATATATGGCAAAAAATACTAAATTCGGATAGACATTCGTAGGTGTTTACCTTTTTTTGTCACTAAGTATATTTCAATACTATACAATAATAATAAGTGATATCTCGTGGGAGGAGTCATTTTAGACGACAAAATGTTTATGCAGGTGAAAAGTGCGAATGTCTTACCTGTTTGGAGATACACGCTGAAGAAGATACATATTTTTAAATGTTTTTTTGTCCGACACCGCGATACCAGGGGTGCATTGGGACAGGTGTTTGAAGAAAATGAGTATGTACTGGATATGATTGTCGCATTCTGTTCGAGTATATTAGCTGAGAGTAGTCCACTCGGATTTTTTCAACGCGTTCTTGGTTAATTATTTTGTTCCTCCATCGTTTTCCGATATGCAAAATGTTTTCGACTTCATCACAAATTATTCTAAAGAGTAAGATTTTATTTAATTTTACAGAAAAAGCTTCATAAGGAAGTATGTCGTGGAAAGGTTATCAAAATACAGTCAAATACGCATACATTTTAACGAAAGTACCCCGCTACTCTATCTACTTGGCTGTGTCAGTTTAAAAAAGACAGTGAAACAAAATCTCTTCAAATATAGATAGCAAAATCCATACTGTCCATGCAACAAAGAGATTAATGGACCCGCTGACAGAATTGGGTGCGAGGGCTCAGGCTGCATGAATCTATTTAGTGGCATAAAGATTCATGTCGATGATCTGAGAGACTGGAAGTCGGTTCGCTACTATGTAGTAGCGGAAAAAAACAAACGAAATTAAATTAAAAAAGCCACCGTTGTGGCGGAAACATCAGTCAGCCTACAAATGTAGATTTCGTTTAGCCAAAAAAACATTGAAATCTATCTATATGAGAAATATAAGATTTCTGATGAAACATCAATGTAAGATATGTTCTAGCTTCCATGTAATGACAAGAAATAATTTGACTGTTGAGAACGAGAATCATTGGCAGGGCACATCTGTTCTCAGCGAATGACCTTCGTCTTAAACTGGACGTCACACACATAAAAAATATATAAATACTATATCAAGAGAACTGGAACTTCCTTATTTGAAACATAAAACATGAAGATATCGCCATCGAGGACAAGTTCATTTAAATAAAGCGTTACACTGAAAGATAAGCAAGAAACAGATGAGTCAACTAGAGTTCCTTTACAAAAGAGATTTCGCTCCTACTTTACAATGTATTGCAGCAGATAACAGCTTTGTTTTCTGCGTATTCAACTGTATACAATTGAGCAGATAACTCTATGAGCTTAGTGGCAATCTCGCCATGTAGAAAGGAATTTATAGAAACCCATAATATCTGGATGTAAGTACCTGTATATAAGGGATATAGGACTGCTTTTACTGGCTTCTGTATAAAACTTTTGCTGCATTAAAACTGTGAAATTCTGCACCTTTATCACATAAGGTATATCCTAAGAGTTTTGGCACAAAGTTCATTGGCTTTAATTTTAAAAAACACAAAATAATATCAAGTTGCCTATGAAAACAAAATTTTGTCTACTACAGTTGAAATTTATTTATTTTAAAGTTTTCGCTTTAAGATTTCGTATAAATTAGAAATGAGAAAACGTATCTACAAGTTGTTTGGGGAAGGAAAGATATCACGCAGAACTATTTATCGAACAATAGCGGAGTGCGAGCAAGGAATACCATGTCTGAATCTCCCAAAAAGTGGAAGACCACGTGCATTTACTGCACAGAGGTCGGGTAGATTGGTGAGAGGATAAAAAAATCAGATTGGAATCTCAACAAAGCACTGGCTCGTCAATACAGATCTTCTAAGAGTAGGATATCGTTGGAATTGAGGAAAAATGGTCTTAAATATCAAATGAGACTTAAGTGCCCCAAATACTCTCGAGCACAATTCCTTCTTCTACCAAGATGCTGTCGTCAACTGACGGGGATAAACTTTGCCAATGGAAAAATCATTACTTTAGATGACGAAAATTAATTCACTTCGAGTAATTATTAAATGAATGAAAACGACGGATACGGACAACGTAGAGGAATGCCTTGACAATGTTAGATACAAACATAAAGCGAAATTTGCAGATAAAATCCTTTTCTGGTGCGCAATTTCTAATAGGGGTGTATCCCAACCTTTTGTGGGAAAAGTGAGGGGTGAAGCTTTGCATAGTCAGAGCCATATTGATCAGTACCTTTCCAAATTGCTTCAGTTTGTCCACTAATGACACTACTTAAGAGACACCCAAAACTGGCTTCGATAACACAACATACCTTTTGTTTCCCGAAAACGATAATCCTCCAAGCTTGCCGTAGGCTCGCCCGATAGAGAATTTTTGAGCTTTACTGTCTAGGAAGGCTTATCATGGAGGCTGGGAAGCCCAAGATGAAGAACAATGAAGATGGCGAAAATGTGTAAATGAATTTCAACAGTAAAAGAAAATCGTATAAATGTTTTCTGTCAAAAACTTTACTCTAGAAGTCCTTGTCACGAGATTTGTTGTAGTGTTTCATCAGAGATAACATCAATTAATCGACTTTCGAACATTTATTTGAGCATGTAATATAAGTGGGTTTATTTGCGTGTCTTACTCAGACATTGATGATTCGATGATTCTAGAGTATATATTCGCATATTGCAATATTTTCACCGGGATGTTTTAGAGAGTGAAGTAAATCTCCAAATATTGTACTGAATTGTGCTTAAAGACCCAAATCTGCTGGGCTGCTACGTAACCCATCGAGGTCTAGCTTGAAAAGCACAAATGATATTTACGAATCGTCACGATTACTTTTAATCTGTTTTAATGGAATAAAATCCATGGAAACCAGATACAGTAGTGGGTATGAAAGCATTATTAAAAATTTGTTTTTATACTACTCTGCGTACTTCTATCATTAAAAATGGATCTGCATCAAAAAGTTCAAACAACAATGTCCTTGTTCAATAAAGAATTTTTCAAATCCAGCTCACCTGTCCTGTGTCCTTGTCAAATTTATAAAGCCTCAACCCAGGATTGTTGGGACCATCGTTGTTTCTCTTTGGTGTTATCGATGGTGCCAGAAGAGCCCATGAAATTGGCCGCCCTGAAAATAAAGAATTGCCTTATTATGTGATTCAAAGAAATAATCCAACAACGTTCTCCCTAAAAAGTAAATATAGAAAAAACATTTAAAATACATCATTTATACTTGAACTGGAAGTATTTTCATTCGAAGCAATTGGTTCAAAGTATTGAGGGATCATGTTTCAAATACATTAAATTTAAACACAGGTGTACCTCAAGTATCAGTACTTGGTTCAATCCTGTCTTCAGTATATATCAACGAGTAAATAAACATACAACAAAGGGTAGATAATGATTTCATAGTTTTTGGGCAAAAACAGAAACAAATAGAATCAAGACAAAAATTGACAGTAGTATGATAATATTAAAAAAAAATGGTATGATAACTTCATATCTTTCAATGCGAATAATACAAAACTTATTATTTTTAAATGCGTCCATGATTCAATTAATTTAAATAATGAAATGATACATAAAACAGACAGCATTAGGTTTTAGGTCTAATCACAAATTAGGGTTCACCAATCATGGGTCACTCTAATACTTCCCATATTATAACAACAGTTACTTGCAACGTTGAGAGAAGCACATGATCAATCAAATACTTTGCTTATTGGAAAGTAGATTAAGATACAGCATTTCTTCTTGAGGTGACTGTTCACAAAATTGCTTGAAGAAGCCGCTTATACTACAAAAATGAATTATTATATCCCGAACCAGGAGAAAACTATTAGTGTAATTTCATTGCTCACTTTGGAAACTTCAAAAACAAATCCCAATTTGAAACAAATGTAAGCTGTGATATAAGACGAAACCAGGACTTTAAACTAATGGTACCAGTATATACACTTGTGACGGAAATAATAGTTTATAGTGGTCTGAAAATTTACATTTCTAGCTTGCTGCTATCAAAATTATTAGCAAAATAAAGATTTTCCGCCGGACCTGAAAATCATTTTGATAAATAAACGATAATATGCTAGCCCCGTCATGATTACCAAACAACAATTATTTGTGCTAATTTTATATATGGTTTTAAAAAATGCCAAACAGCCACGCGGGTGTCCGGACATGACACATTGTACTGTTCTTAATGTCTATAGTTCATTTTACTATAGCAAGTAGTGGTCTACGTATGTTAATTGACTACTTAATCCCGGTCGTAACTTATAGTGCCAAAGCCCAAATAGATCTGTATCATGGATGGAAGTCAGTGAAATTGGAATATCAGTCAGCGTTAAATCAACGGTTCCCCGATTTCGGTCGTAACGATCTCCACTTTAGCGTTGAGCCCTCTCAATTACCTTAGAAGTGGCCCCATCAATTATTAAGCCTTCATTTGAAATTACCCTGCCCTTGGTTGAGACAATCGACACAATTAGGATATCATTCAACTTCCACGCTAGATGGCGAGATATCGTCCTAATAACGAAAATATTCGTTTACTTTTGGATGCTTCACGACATGTGCATCACGAAAAGCTGTCACTCATTTCCGTCGGTTTGCATGTCGGCCCGATAATCCTTGACTCCTTTATACCTCGGAAAGCACCGCACGGAATTTTGACAAAAGGTTTGGAAATCAGACCAGTGGCGTCAGAGCTAAAAACAAAACGTAAACATCGCTCAAGCTTTTGTTTCACGCTGGAGACACCTCTGCTTATTTTCAAATAATATTTATGGGGTTGAAAACCACAGGCTGGAAGTTGTAAGGGCTGCTCAATAAAGTGAGAATAAAATCGTTTTTATTTTTTCTCACTTTATTTGAGATGGGATTTAAAGATAAAAAGTACAACAACATTGCTGCTTCTTTTCCTCTACAACCTGGCATAATTAGAATTTTAATATGACGTTTCAACTTTCGTCTTCAGTCGACTTCAATATTCTTACGTGAGATAAAATTTAATTTTCAAAGCCAACTACGAAAAAACTGTTTTTTTAGGAATATGTTTGGTTGGACAATGTATAAATGTACGACATTCTAAATTTTTGGAGTCAGAATCAAAAACTTTATTCACCTGTGTAAAAATCCAATACGGCGTCTATAAGAAGAAATAAAGTTGATGATTGAGAACAAGAGACAATACATAATATTCAAAAAATAAAAACGATTTTGGAAAAATTTTATTATGGAATTGAGAAACTTTCTAATTGTTGTTTTTTTTCCTTGCAGTTTGTAGTTCAATTGTTTTTATTTTCCATACGTAACTTTTTTTCATATGATTTTACTGAATTTCACAGATACTAAACTTCATAATAACAACGTATGTTTGGATGAGTGAAAACATGAAGGATTGTGAAGGAATGTAATGTTGATTAATGATGACTGAGTTTCTATCCTTGCAGGCACAGGCTGCCTCTCTTTATACAATAATAAGAATAATAGTCGTCTTTATTTAGAAACAGATTAACTGATTGGCAAAGTTTAGCTTCCGCTACTCTTATACTTAACCAATCAGTTAGCGACTGGTAATATATATTCTAAATAACTACATAATTGCCAAGTCCCTATTGGAAAACCCGATACCCCTTATGATTTCCGACAGAAACAAACAACTTTGCCCCCATTTAACAAACTTTATATCCCTTGACGTTTCAGAGATCCCAATGGCGAGATGTGAAACACCCAGTATTTTTTATTATAGACTTGAAGCATATACTGGAATATACGAAAACGAATGAGTCTTACACAGAAATGCCCAATTTGGGTTTTCAAAGAACAATCAGGGAATAAAATAAAATGAAAAATGTTATCAAGTTCAACTTACATATGTTTTAAAATATACAACGTAAAAATTTCATAGATGCAATCAACTTGAAATCTAAAGGAAACCGCGCTTATTGGACCTAGTCCTTCGAAAACGGTATACTAATGAGTGGGAAGTACTAGGTCAATCTACTAAACAACAAGATGCAGAGTTATTACCTAAGAAACCTATATAATGTCAAAATAACCAACAAAGAGTCAACTTGCTGGCTAGATAGCTCCACACTAGTGCAAAAAGTCATTCCACCCTTGCTCGCTGTGACCTTCAACGATATCATCATCTATGGAGAAATAACTCAACGACCATGCCGCATGTCAGTCAGTCAGCATGCTTTGTTGGTTGCAGAATATAGAGATTGTCTGTAAGATATATCTCTGAGAAGATGTGTCAGAAAGAAAATTGGTTGAGTTGCAGAATGTGAAGATCGCATCTGGATGATTGTGTATATTGATCTGCATGTGTATAAAATCACTGATATTCCCAATGTGTGAAAATTGTTTCTGAATATGCTGCACCAGTCGGGTTTCTTTGTGTTGTCCTTTCTGAATTGAGGTTATGCCCAAAATTATAAAGTACGATCTTCTCCAGTTTTTTGCGTTTTCAGAAACTTTGAGAAGCATTACGGGAAATTACATCCGCGTCCGCGTTGTGTGGAATTAAGCCACATCGCAGAAAATTAGGAATAACACATGACACACAGAACAGTGCCTCGATTATTATCACACAAATCCTCACTAAGCGCCTATCCACTGCCGTTTCCTTCCAGCTATAGTAAGCAACTTGAGCTGAGGCCGCCATTAATGCCGTCTCTGAAGCAGACGTTACACCACATCAGAGCCAAACCATGATAGCTCAAGCGCCATGACGTTTAGGCAACAAGTACGGTTTCACAAAGAGTGAACATTAAGTAAACAACATATAGTTCCAAGTTGACATCTACCTACTAAAAACCCATACAACGGAAACAAGCGACGTAATGTCGCTTTTCAAGATACGTGATACTACTACGGTTGAGTTTGCTTCTCATTACTTTAATTCCAAAGCATCCTCATTGTAAGATAATCCAATCGGAATATCGCATATCCTTTCAGTGAGCAAACGTCACATCGTGACAAAGGCAACAGCCGCAGCGATCCTAATGATCCATAAACACAATTCCCCAATTAACTTAATTTCCCGCTTACCGCTCGTGAACGACCGACGCCCAGCGTTGAAGAGGAGTTGGGAAAAGTTCTGACTGAATGGAAAGTTCCTTCAATGGACACCACACGTGCTCTCCTAACTCCGTATACATACATCACTCGCTTTGCTAATGACCCTGCTGGCGTACGTACGGTTCATCTGTTGAATAGGCGCTCGACGTACGGCTATGTTTTACATGACTTATCTTTTCTGGTATTCGGTTAGGTTAACCGGGCCTTATGGTACTTCAAATGATCTGGGGATGAATATATGTTTATGGGATTATACCAGAGCAACGAAAATGGACAGGAGTAAAACATCAGCACTTAGGCCTGATTTTACTAACAGATCAGAATGCTTGATCCGGATCATAATGGACCAGTGAGGAGCCATCACTCCAGTCATGGATTTAATAAATATAGTCGATTTTTTCCGACATATCTCTCAAACTAGGGAAAAATATACGATTTGTGTAAGAAGTGCCTTAATCCCCATATTGAGACAAGAAATTCTTTATAAATCACCTGGCTTAGCTACAAAAATATATTTTTCCAGTTAATCCTGAGATCAAAACATATGATCTGGATCATCAATATCCAATTAGAAAGCGTTTTCGTAAAACTGCATCGAAAATTGGCCAATTGGACAGGAGCCTTCAAGCCCTGTTCGAATCTTTGATCAAATCTAATATTTATAATGCCCGTCATCAACTGCTGAGCGCTTCATTGAAAAGAATGGCATATTACTCACCTGAGCGATAATTTTAGAAAAAAAGGATGTATTTTTAAGAACGCATCAACGTGTCAGTTGTCGATTGAACTGTCATCTATTGTAATTTGTAGATTCATGAACATCCTCTATGTGTGCGCTAAATTTATGCAATCATGTTTTTAATCAAAGAATTTCAGTATATACTCGTATATACCGCATGTACATACGTTCTGTGGGAAATGAAAGAACCCAGGTTCGCGTTACCTTGAGCAATATTTGTGTTTACATTTAGCTAGTCTTTCATTAAAAGAATAATACCGATGCATTTTTTGAGAAGATTAACTATCTCTGTCGCAATC